ATAATTTAATAGTCAATTAACAAGGCCTATTAATTTAATAATTTATGTATAATAAAACCTATTTACAATTAAGATAACACATTGAGCAATATCATGGATTATTTTTTAAATTGCATTATGTGATGTGATGTTATGTTATGTTATCTTATATTAAGTTTATGTTATATAATGATACACCCTCATAAGGTACCGTATCATATATTTGAGGACTGATGCTAATGTCCTACTTTGAAGATAGTGAATAAAGTTATTTTTTAGTCAGATTTTAACTTGCCAAGAAATCCAGTAGGCCCCTATTGAGTTAGTTAAAGCATGGGGTATGTCTAAAGTATCTGCATACCAAGCAGGGGATCTGAGTTCAAATAGCGGTTAAACGATTTTGTTCACCTATACCGTTTTCGTTACCGTAGTACACACACACACACACACACACACACACACACACACACACTCTCTCTCTCTCCCTCTCTCTCTAGATATACAATATCATTATTACATGTAATTTACATATAGAACATGAATGCTCTTGTATTTTATGAAATACACAGAGGCCTAGTTATAATAAACCTATCAACGAAGGTTAAAAAACAGATATCAACAGCGCTATAATTTTAAATGAGAAGGAATTGAGAGAGTAAGTTAAAATGACTGATGGGATCTCTTGGTTAGTGTGTAGTGCGATCATTATACTCGTATTGTTACATCTTAAGCGTAATTTATGGCTACATCGTTGTGATATAAATAAAGAAATGTTTGATTTATGTTGGTAACTTTAATTAAATTCCCATAGCCACTCTCTCAGCACAAATTGAGCGCATACTTACATGCATATTCTCAACGGAAACGTACATTTTCTCTAACATTAAAGAGGTTTTTTCTTACTAAATTGAATGACTTACTTACTTTCTTCGAAAATTCTACATTCTTTATCAATCTAACTACCAAAATTAGCTTCAATTTCAAGATTGTTTGACCTTAGTAATTGTTTTTTTTGTAAACATAGGCAAATTAAACGTTTCAGAAGCTGCGGAGCATTCGCGACATCACAACATTTCAGAAGCAAGGAATATTATATATTATCAACTTTTGATGGTCTATTCAAACTAAAACTATTTAAATAGCATACACACGCACACACACCCACCCCTTAATCCCAGCATACATGCACACATTGACCCATGCTAACACACATGTAAATTATACATACATTCATCAGCAAACTTAGATTCAGGTAAATATAGCATGTAATAGAAAACAATTTAAAACATACATGAATTTCAATAAACGCATTTTGTCCTTTCTCCTTTGGTCGATTAGTTAAGCCTACCTTCTTATTCTCTTTTGTACAGTGTCAAAATCTCGACGTGGCCCCACTGAAGAAATGTGGGAAACACTGATCCCTTTATTTTACAGGCCAATGCCCACGATAGGTCTATTTCGAATAAGATAAAATATATTTGGAAAGCAATGGTCATTGAATTTATATAATTTATTGAAATGAAAATATAGGATTATAGGCTATAATATACATAGAATACGTCCATAGAAAATTATGTCCATATCACACAACCTATTACTGCTGATGCTGTAATCACGCGAAGATGAAAAAAAAGCAGAAATGTGGGTTAATGCTTGATTCAATGTGGGCATCCCTTACACGTGTAAATCACTGTTTGTTATAATCGAGAAAATGATATTACACAATGATTATATGGTTGCTTGAATATGTTAAAAGGCCATGGGCAAAATGTTTCAAACCTGATTTATTCAAACTGAATAACCTACGAACAAAAGTAAAGGCTTCACACGATTTGACTACTAAATCAATAATTTCAACCAATTTACTGTCAGTCTCTCAGAATACAGTGAGCATTATTGTCATCAGGT